CACAGAAAATTTCTCCAGAAAATGGAATTGGTGAAAAAGTTTCATGCATATATTGTTTTATGCTAAGTTTCCTTTTGGAAAGCATAAGCTCAATGTCTTCTCTCTTATTATTAAATGACTGCTTTGTCATAAAACATGGCATGAGACATTAAAAGTGACACTATGAATGCTTTCTTCATTATGACCAAACATATGTAGAAATCTCTTTCTTCCATAAGACAAATGAAATTCCAATTGAGAAAAGTGATCCCTCCTTTTATGTATCAATAAACAGATGAGAACATTTTTATTGACAAGGGAAGTAACTCTACTATAGAAATAAATTCCTTTCTTAGAATATACATATTCAGACCTGAATATTATGTATGTAATCGTAGAAAAAATAAAGCAAACTTTTACAGTTTCACAGAGCTGAATATCCAAGTAGTTGCAAATCCACTCTCCTAGCAGTTGGCTTACTGTCATCTAGTTCACTGCCATGGACTTTATATACGTTCGAAGGCAGATATGCTAATCCATAGACAGAACATCTGGGTTACTCCATAATCTGTTTTCTGTTATAAATGACAAAATGAGTCTGTCCCAGTTTTTCATTGTCATTGAGCCAATAACAATTTCTTCTGTACACTCCACCCTGATCTCTTGTTCACAAACATGGAAGTTAGGGGCTGGCCTTTTTTGCTATGCATTAGTTGTAAAGGGGTGGGGGTCTTTGACACTTCCATAGAAGACTACCTTACTCTTGACCTTTTTTGGCATGTGTTTCTCTATGGAAGGATGGTACATGTCTTTTCAGATTAGTTGTCTGACATGCTAGGGTTAGTGGCTAGGTTATCAAGGGAACCATTGAGTGTGCATGACTTGCACTGGAGCAGCATCTTGCTGTTAGAAGACTCATTGTTCATCAATGAAGTTGCTTCAAAAGTACAGCAGAGATCTTTATGTGGTGCAGTGTTCTATCGACCAGTACTGAGTGCTTACTGATTACACCCATGTTCTACCACTTTGAGAAATTGGTAGTACATTGATTATTGGGTGGCTTTACCTAGGCGGAATTTCCAATGTTGTATGGTCCATGTACCTCCTTATGACTAGGTGGGGAGTCAACTCCTTTTATTCAGACTTGATATGTGTAGATAGCATTGTGGTTGCACTTGAAACATCATTCTTTAACATCAGATTCTACCAGTATACTGCTTCCATTACAATATATATTTTCCTGACTACGATCCTCTTTATATTCCAATCGTACCTCTCTGCTAAGCCATTGCCTGATGGTATACATGCACATCACTGCTGAAGACAAACTCCCCACTTGTCTAAAAACTGCTTGACTTGCATATTACACAAAACAGTGTCTTTGTCTGTGAGAATCTTCTATGGCAGACCTCACTCAAAAATATCACTTCCAGTTAACAAAGGATGCTTGAGGAGTCTTGTTGAAGCAATGTTTGCCAGACTGCAAATTGAGTGAGGCCACAGCCACTCAAGCATCAAGCTAACACTGTGGGAATCTATTCAGTTTGTCCACTTGATTGTAGTCAGACTTGACTAATCAGACACTTACAGACAGTCTGAACTTCTTAACAAGTTTTGCAAATGTATTGAGCCATAGCTGTATGATCATGTCACTTGCAGTTTTAATGTGCAATTGTTGACTCTTCCACAACAAGCTAGTTAATCCCTGGTAGGAAATGCACTATTCCTGTTATAATTTTCACCATCACAATCTTACAAAATATATAACAAGCATTCATTGGTCAATCACCTTCAACCTAGCTCGTTGATTGCTCAGTTCCAACCAATCAAACCGCCTGCACGCGAGAAATCTGTTTTTCTGCTCAATATGCTTGGAGCCTCCCATGTGATTCACGACCATATCTAAACAGAACATGTGTAAACTTCCTCGGGTTTTCTTTTCATTCATCTCTCTCTCACATCTCATTCCTTGCTACCAAGTACCATGATGTAATCTTCAAGAACTCCCGTCTTAACTAATGCAGTCAGACATTAAAGACCATTACCAACATTCACGCAAGTATGAACTCTGAAATCTCTTCTGAACTTTTACCAACTTGTACAATACACAATTCCAAACATGCTAAAAAAACTTTATTTTTCTCAACTACAGTTTAAAATTACTTTCACTTTATGAGATCGAATACAAATATTACCTAATCTAAGAGACACAACTCTGTCTAACTTTTCAGTTCACATGCATGTATATCAAATATTAATAAATTCAATTGTAACATTTTGAAACAAGATGTTTATGAATCTTTATTATTTTCTATCTTGTATTAATTGTTGTGGATGGAAGATTATTGAACACACACAATTTTAAACCTGATAATTCAAACCTTCTATTCCTCTCCAACATCGCACACATCCGCAACACAATCAGACTTTCCTAGTTAGAGCATCATAAACCCATTGATACACACATGCAGAATCAGTTACCAAGTTCTCTAAAATCTATCACAGGGCTCACTTTTTGCTTGTTGTCTTTTTCACCACTGCTGGAGTATGGTAGTAACCATCGATTATGTAACCACAATTGTAGATCCTTGTTGTAATCTTCCCTAATGTTTTTACAAACAAAATATTCCAGTATTCTGTTCTTCAGCTCATCTGGCTACTTCCATAATGTGGTCCACATGCACTTCTGCCAACTGAAATCAAGCTCATAAGTGCTTTATACACTGGTACATCATTCGTAGTGAATCACACTTAACCTGTTCGATTAATGTGGATTCTGCTCAATGATTTGATGGCATCCATCCCCAGCAGAAGGTTGAACTCAAGCATTTTACTCACCATGACCAACACTTTGACCATAACCAGATCCACACCATACACTCTAAGCTGAACTCTTCCAAATCCATAACATCTCAATGTGTTTTGTCTGGTGTGAGCACCTTAACCTCCCTCTTCCTTCTAAGATGATAAACTGACTTGCTCATGAACATGCGAGAACAGCCAGTGTCCACCAACTCTACACACTGTATTCCATCAATGCACACCTCTTTTACTGGTAGTACCATATCTAGAAGTTTTTGTGGGGAAGAGGCTGGCACTGATGTCTCATCACCTAACATGTTTCCTGAGCAATTCCAGGCTAAGTGACCTAATTGGTCACACCGACAACATCACTCCAGAATGCTGCTGGATAACTGGGATAGCTTGTGCAACTTTGTCAGACACACATTTGTCATCTCACCATCATCAAGGAAGCACCATATATTAAACCGTTTGTAGGCTATAAAGGAGTCCATTGCAAACACCTCAAGGAGTGCACACTTTATCTGTGCCACATCAGTCTGTGCTTTGGCACTTAGCTATTGGTATAATGCAAATGCGCCGCCAGTTAGTTATAACAGAAAGGCTAGGTTTACTCTTTTCACCTCACACAGATCGCACACCTGCTCAACATTCTCAATACATTAGACTGCTGATAGTGCTGTAGCCAAATCATTGAATCCTGGGATGAGTTTGATGCTGAAAGCTTTGTCCTTCATCTGATTGCTGAAATAGCTTGTAGTGAAAAAAAGCCTCAAAAATTCACAGAGCTTCAGATCCAAATAGTTGCTGAAAACCAGCTATTGAACCATAAAGTTTCTTGTAACAAAATTTCCATGTTTAGAACTGTAAACCTGATTATTCTCATGTAAAGAAAAATAAATAACCAATCATCTTTTTGTAAAGAATAGCAAACCCTGCTATGAGTGGTTTCGCTAATCTTGACAAGATCATTGATTTTAAGTATAAGTATCCTTTTCATTCCCATTTTCTTTAAAACTTTCTTGTTGATCACATAGTATGGCCATGGTATTCTCAGTATCCTTCTGCAGAACTATGTCTCTGTTGATTCATCTCCACCTGTGAGAAAATTATCCAACATTCACTGCTATATAGGAGGATGGGCCTTACATACAGGTTAAGTACTCTTTTCTTTGTTTATAATGAAATTTTCCTGTTTCTTAATACTTTGTTTAGGTTTTGGAAAGCATCTTTCACTGTTCCAATGTGTTAATGGATTTCAATGCTACATTTTCCATCCTTTGTTGAAACACCTCCTTGATCGTTAAATTTCTGTAATTGCTTCCTTTTAATATCTCTCATTTGTAGCTTCCATTTTGCCAGCCTATAAGATTAATTTTGTTTTTAATTATATCCAAATTTTACATTTCAACCAATGTGCTGGTATTATGGATGGAAGATGAAACACAGAGGAATTTATATTTTTTTAATTCTTTCTCTTATGAGTTTTTTTCTAGTGTCATTGGGTAAAATTTTGTTTTTCTTTACTTGATATTCTTTTTTCTTCATTGAAATCCTTAATTTTTTTCCTCTCTACTGACCTTCAAACATTGGCTTCTTCTCTAATGCTTTATTTCACTGGTTATAACATTTTTTGTACTCTTTCTAATATTTAAATTAAATATCTAACTTTCTTTTCACATTCTTTGTGTTTCTCTTTCTTTTTTAATTTTTTATCTAAACTTTTCTTTCTTTTTCTTTAATGTTTCTCATTTTCCTTTCTCTCATTTTAACTTTGAACTTGTATTTCTTCTTTTTCTTTCTACTCAGTGTTTATTTTCTTCACTAGTTTTTCTCTTTATTCATGTTTCTCCCCCTCCCTTTATTCATGCCTATCTAACCCTCACTCTTTATTCATTCTCTCCTATTCATGTCTATCATCCTCTCTCTATTCATGCTCTCTTTATTCATCTATCCATTCTATCCTATCATATCTATTTATTCATGCCTATCTATCCCTCTCTCTCTGTCATACCTATATCCCTCTCCTATCCCATGCCCCTATCCCTTATTCATTCTTCTCCATTCACTTCTCTCTTTTTATTCATGCCTATCAATCCCATTATTAATTATCCATTCGTCTCTATTTTATTCATGTCTATCCATCTCTCTTTATTCATGTCTATCCATTCATCTCTCTTTCCCTCTTGATGGCTCTCCATATTCCTATTTCTTTATTCATGCCTATCTATCCCTCTCTCATATCTATTCTATTCATGCCTATCTATCATTCCCCCTCTCTCCATTTATTCATCATCTATATTCCTCTTCATCTCTCTCTTTATTCATGTCTATCCATCCATCTCTTTATTGATGGCTCTTTATTCATCCCCTTTATCTCATCCTATCCCTTTATTCATATTCCTCTATCCATCTCCCTCTCTCTCTTTATTATCTCTATATCTATATTCTATGCCACATCTATTCATGCTCTATCTGTCATACCCTCATTCCTCTCTGTTCATACTTCTCCCTTTTCTCTCTTTTATTCATGCCTATGTCCATCCCTCCCCTCTTTTATTCAGTTTCCCATACTTCCATTGCCTATCTCTCTTTTATTCATGCCTATCATGCCTATCCCATTCATTAATTCATGCCTCTACATTGTCTCCCTCTCTTTATTCATATCTATAGGTCTATTCCCTATCCATCTCTACATTCATTCTATTCATGTCTATCCCCATATCTCTTTTATTGATGGCTCTCCATTCCCCTATATTGACTGTTTATTTATTCATATAGGTAGATTCATATCTCTCTCTCTTTATTCATGCCTATCTATCCCTATTATATCTATATCTCTCTCTTTATTCATGCCTTCCCTCTCTCTCTGTCATCTATTCTATTCATGCCTATTTCCTACATTCATTCTGTCTATCCATCCATTCTATTCATGGCCTATCTATTCATGCCTCTATCCCATTCTCTCTCTCTTTATTTATATATGATCCCCTTTCTCTCTCTTTATTCATGCCTATCTATCCCTCTATATCCCATATCTATATCTCTCTCTCTTTATTCATGCCTATCTATCCCTCTCTCTGTCATCCCTCCCCTCTATACTTCTCCATGCCCTCTTTTTCATGCCTATCAATCCCATTATTAATTATCACATTCATCTCTCTCTTTATTCATGCCATCCATCTCTTTTTATTTTCCATTCATGCCTATTCAATCCACATTTTATTCATGCCTTCTATTATCTATATTCCTCTTTCTCTCTTTATTCATGCCTATCATCCCTCTCTCTCTCTTTTATTCATCTCTCTCTTTCATGCCTTCATGTCTATCCATCCATCTCTCTTTCATATTGATGGCTCTCATGCCTATCCCCTGTTTCTTTATTCATGCCCATCCACATGGCTCTCCTTATCTCTCCCTTTCATGCCTATTTCCCTCTGCCTTCATCTATTCTATCATTCTCTCTCTTTATTCCTCCTATTGACATGCCTATCTATCCCTCTCTCTATTCATGCCTATCTATTCATACTTCTCCATGCATTCATTCATGCCTTTATTCTATTCATGCCTATCTTTTATTCATCCCTCCATCCCTATCTCTCTATTCGTGGCTCTTTATTCATATCTATGCCTATCCCTCTCTCTCTATATTCATATCTATATTCCCATTCGTGCCTATTGATTCATGTCTATCCCTCTCTCTGTCTCTCTTCATTCTTGTCATCCCTCCCCCTCTTTATTCATACCTCTTTATTCATTATTCCCATATTAATTATCTCCATTCATGTCTATCCATCCATCTCTTTTATTGATGGCATGCCTGCCTATCTATCCCTCCTCTCTCCCATTTCCCTCTTTTATTCATGCCTATCTATCCCTGTCTATTTTATTTATATCTCTCTCTCTTTCTCTTTATTCATGTCTATCCATCTATTTTCATCTTTATATCAATCCCATTATTAATTATCCCATTCATCTCTCTCTTTATTCATGTCTATCCATCCATCTCTTGGCTCTCTTTATTCATTTTATTCTATACACCTCATCTCCTCCCTTTTTTTATCTTTATTCCTTCTTCTATTCATGCCTATCTCTCTTCATATCTATTCTCCATTCATGCCTGCCTATCTGTCCTCTGTCATATTCATCCCTATCTTTCATACTTCTCCATTCCCATTCCCCTATTAATTCTCTCCATTCATCGTCTTATTCATCTATTCATCTTTATGTCTATTCTCTCTTTTTCATATTCATGTCTATTCATATCTATGCCTATCTATCATTATTTTTTATTCATATCTATATTCCTCTCTCTTTATTCATGCTTCTCCATTCCTCTATCTTTTATTCTTTATATCCCCTCTCTCTTTTATTCATGCTGTCATATTCATCCTATCTTTATTCCTTCCCATCTTCTTTTATTCATGCCTCTCTAATTTCTCTACATTCCTCTCTCTTTATTCATGTCTATCCATCCATTCCTCTTTATTCATGCTCCACCCCTTTTTATTTATTCATATCCACTCCTCTCTTTATTCATGCTTCTCCATTCTCTCTCTCATTTACTTTATTCATGCCTCTATCTTTTCTATTTCATATCTGCCATTCTTTCATGCACTTCTTTATTCATGCTTTTATTCCCATTTGTGCTTTATTCATGCTTCTCCATCCCCTCTCCCCTCTTTAGCTCTCCACTTTATTCATGCCTATCTATCCCTCTTATTCTCCTCTCTTTATACCTTCTTTATTCATATTTCTCCACGCCTCTCTCTTTATTCATGCCTATGTATCCTTCTCTCTCTTTATTCATGCCTATCTATCCCTCTCTCTGTCATACTTCTCCATCCCTCCCATCTCTTTTTATTCATGCCTTCCATTATTTATTCCCTCTCTTTATTCATGCCTATCAATCCCATTATTAATTATCTCTACATTCATCTCTCTCTTTATTCATGTCTATCCATCCATCTCTCTTTATTGATGGCTCTCCACCCCTGTTTCTTTATTCATACTCCACACCTCTCTTTATTCATGCCTATCTATCCCTCTCTCTCTCTTTATTCATATCTATATCCCTCTCTCTCTCTTTATTCATGCCTATCTATCCCTCTCTCTGTCATACTTCTCCATCCCTCCCCCTCTTTATTCATACTTCTCCATGCCTCTCTCTTTATTCATGCCTATCAATCCCATTATTAATTATCTCTACATTCTTCTCTCTCTTTATTGATGCCTCTCCACCCCTGTTTCTTTATTCATACTCCACACCTCTCTCTTTATTCATGCCTATCTATCCCTCTCTCTCTCTCTCTTTATTTATACCTATCTATCCCTCTCTTTTATTATTCATATCTATCTATCTATCCCCCTCTCTCTCTTTATTCATACCTATCTATCCCTCTCTCTTTATTGTTCTTTTGTTTTTTCTCCTCAAATATTTTTCACCATTTGATTTTCAGTTTCTTTGTTATGTTTCATCCATTCAACCTTTTTATTTCCAATTTTTTTCTTTTTTAATTTTCATATTCCTTGCTTGCATTGAGATGAGTGCTGTGTGGATTATTTACATCAGACAAATCCTTCATATTTGGCTGTTTCCCATCATCACACTGAAGAGTAACATTCAAAAAGAAAAATAAATGGAAACAGGTGGTAAGAATGGTTATGCCAAAACACAAACATTCTGAAGATGTGCCAAGAATTATGTGAAAATCCTACAAGAATCAATTCACTGCATATATTCTGATCATTTTTATTTGAGAGCCAGACAAATTTTTCCACCAAAGAAATCATTTCAGATTCTTTCTCTTTTGATCTGCTTCCCCAGAAAGACTTTATATAAGGAAAGACAAACAAGATACGAAATGATAACAAAATCTTTTTCAGTTAATAGAATTCAGTTCTTGCTGTGAGCTTATTTTATAATAATTCTTAAGGCAGTTTTTACAGTGTTTTTTTTTTCTATTAACATTAACCCCATTGTTCTAGTGGAGAGTTTTATAAAGCAGTTTGATTAATAAAAGGAAATGTTTTATGACACTACAAAATCAGTGTAATCATTTTAGAATATTAGGTTTAATTTACATTTCATCTTGTTAATCCCTTATATTTTGGGCATGAGATATGCAATAGGGGTAACCATGTGATGTTGTTGGGGGAGCTGTTTGTTGATAAGTGTTATATAGGAATAAAGTGTTGCTGCTAACATTTGGGTTTGAAGACAGATCCCCAGAGAGCAAACACAGGCGATCCCATATTGAATAAGTAGATCACGTGGTAGTAAAGGAAATGTATATATTGGAATTAGTATGGCATCTAATTGATCTATTCTATCCTCTATTACTATAGGGATTACTCTTTCTACACTACCCTCTATCTCTACACTATTCACTATACTATTTCTCTTTACTGATCACTATTTGGTGGTTACTGTTTGAGTAAGTTTTATTGAGCAAGTACAATTAGTGCAAATGTTATTCGAAGGCATCTGACACCAGAATTGTTCAACAATGTTACTATTATTGTATCTGTGATTACAAAGTCTTTACTACAATGAGCATTACGAAAATGACAATGAGTATTTGTTGACATTACAAAAGTGGCAACAAGTGTTTGTTGACATCACAAAAATAGGATAGGGTACATACTGGAGTTTCCTCAAACAAGAGAGTAAGAATTAATATATATATATATATATATATATATATATATATATATATATATATATATATATATAATTAGTATACAAACAATTATATATTATATACAATTAGTAACATTTTATTTTCTGAGTAAACTACATAAAAAGAGGTGAATAAAGATCGTATATATAGAAATGTTCTTTTTGTATGTACATATATGTAAAATTACAATGAAAGACTGTGAGAGATTTAGATTTGTAAAGTTGGCTTTACTTGTTCCAAATCCATGACCTCACTCTTGTTGCAGTATCCTCTCCTTAACTGACCATGTCTTCAGAGGTGTAGCCATAGTTGGCCAGTTGTGGGTTGGTGAGGCTATTTAACTCATAACTGGAGGTCTTGAATTCAGAGTTTTCCTTCGTCTATAGAGCTTTTCTTCTTCTAGACTGGTTGCCAACTAAGGTTATAGGACCCAGTTTGTCCTGCTATTTAATGATAGCTGAAGAGGAGAAGAGATCGATTCATACTTTTCCCAAGGGTATTTGTATATAAGTGAATTTAATGAACTTGACTGGAATTCAAACTCAATTCCTCAATCCGAAATGCTATCTGTTACTTCACAATGCCTTATCTATTGGTCTGGTAGAATTAGTAGATATGATTGTGTGTAGTCAGGTAAGCTATATAGCATTGTATGTCATGTACTATTCTATACTCTGTTCCATGTGACATTATGTTCACTGGGGACAAAGAGGGTCTCTCAGATGGAATGTGACACATCAAAGCATCCTTTAGGTTAAGAGATAGAATGAGACTTTTGCTCACTTTTCTTATATACTGTTTTGGCAACATTATCTAGTAGTCCTTAGCATAAGTTCTTTGGCAGACAAGTGCAGTAATCCCTCAATGTACCTTTATTTAAATTCTCTTCCATCTAGTCAGTATGAAATGTGATAAAAAGAACAACTGCTTGATTGCCAAAAATAAAAAAATTTAGTAAGCAAGAACATTTTTACTGATATCACTCACTTAGGGAATGAACAAAAAGTTAAGTGACAACCTATAGAAATGAGAGTTACCTAAAATAGCAGACAATCTTGTACTGACAACATGCATATCAAATATTTATATTTCTGTATTGTTATGCCTTGTATACACAAAATAATTGCATATACTTCTTAACTGGGTTTATTAATGTATTTTAATAGTATCATAAATAGGACGAATATGTAATACTAGGTTATGGTTGAATATTTGGATTTTATATTCATTAAGTATAGGTTTTACAAATATTGGTGATATAAAGATATAAATACCAGTTTGGAATCTGACGTGGGATAGTCTTTCTTAGATGAGGGTGAATGGAGTCTCTCTGAGCCTTGGTTGGCAATCCATTTAGTGATGGTGTCACGATAAAAAACACCCTTGATAGCCCTAGAGAAGCATCAAGAATTCAGCTATTGACAAGATTATGAACTACAAGTTAACCTTTCCAGATAGGATAAAACGAGACACATTGATCCCTAAGGAAGATCTTTTAGGTGCTATGACAGATAGGGAATACTGGAGAGGTGTAGTGAGTTCAATCTCGGCTGAGGCCGCAAGATGATGATGATGATGATGATGATGATGATGATGAAATGTGTCTGCTGGCTTTTTATTATTGACTGTTTATTAATATTTCTTATTAGATATTTCCTTTATCATGGGTTATGCTTCAATATTTACTAAGGTTGCATTTTTAAAATGACAACTATAGCCTGTTTTATTCCTTTGTGATACTAATGAATTTAATTTAGTTTCTTTTTTGTTTATAAATACAGATCTTTAGACTTGCTATATGTTTCTTATTGCATTGCAGGGAATTTATCTTCTTACCTTTTCCTACAGTTTATCCCTTTCTTTCATTTTAACTTAAAAAAAAACGAAATTTAGAACAATGAGTCAAATAAATCAGTGTATAAATTTTAACCTAAAATTTCAGAAAGAAAAACATATTTATTTCTATTCCATATCATAAGCCTGTTAATGATTTTAATGATACAAGTGGTCATGCAAAAAGAAAACTTTCAAATTTGCTAAGGTAAATTTAATATTGAATTTTCTTTCTTTTATGTGGAAAAGAATTTTATAATTAATTTGGCTTTCCATAAAAATAAAACAATAATAATAAATAATTTGGTGCATACTTGTTTATTTTTTCTCTCAATATCTTGCAAAATATTGATATTTTTTAACTGTGATGGCATAAATGGAAAAGAAAAGAATGTATATTTTCTTATTTTTTAAAAATAATTTCATGCCAAGCAATGTGGGAATGTC